GGAATATATAGGGGAGAAAAGCCACTGATGTAGAATGAACCAAATTCAAGCTTGCAGACTGATGCGGAGGTCCATTGTTTATAATTATACTCCTGCCGTTGCGGCCATGCATGTCCTATGGACCCAGCCTATGTTTCATCACCTCTGGGATCTTGGCCTGCATTTGCTCTCCTCTTACGCTGCTGTCAGCACAGACCTGACAGTGCTGCCAAAGGTGACCCTCATTGACCAGCAAAGCTGTGTGCAAGGACAAAGCTCTCTGACCAAGCTCAGCATCCATCCAAATGTCCACACCTGTCACTATATTTATTTCTATTTCTATTTCTATTTCTATTTGATCTTTTTCTTTTTCTTTCCCCTTTTTTTTTTTCCTTTTCCTTTTCCTTTTCCTTTTCCTTTTCCTTTTTTTCTTCTTCTTTTTCTTTTTTCTTCTTCTTTTTCTTTTTCTGTTTAGACTTAAATTCAAATTTAAATCTGTATAAATGTAGATGTAGATGTAGACATGCATACATATAGCTATAGATCTATCTATCCACATCAGCAATACTGATAGGGACCAGGCAGCAACGCACTACCCATACTCACTCTGCAGAAAGCAGTACCCATGAGAAAACAGGAGCTGGCACTCCTTGAAACCGTGGCCAGGTCTAACACAACAGGTGAGAAAGACTTTCCCTCTCTTTATGGGCACAGCAATCTGTTCCATGAATGACCCCAATTTGGCAGGAAGACGTGGGTATTTGCAATATCCTTTAAATTTTGCAGCTGGGAGGAGAAAGGAGTACTGCAACTACACAGGCTGCTGTCACAAGCAATGGGGGAAAATATTTGCAGAGCCATCACTGGCTATGGAAGAATAATAATGTGGGTACATGTTATCTATCCGAGCCTCTGGGCATGATATGGATTTGCTCTCCATGAAAGTGCTCTCTCCTATTAACAAGGTGCATTCATGTCAGTGCTTCCTCCCACGACCTCAAACGCCTCCACACAACCCCAGCATCCCCATTTCCCATGCACAGCCCACCCAGCGAGGGGTCCTCGCCCATGTAGGGTGAGGGAACGTGGCCCCGGGACTTGGGAACATAAAAGCAAGTGCTCACAGAGCTGGGCGGTGAGGCTGGCTAATTCCAGACAAAACAGCGCTTTGGTTTGCAAGACGCCTCTGGTGATGACTCAGAGTTGGGGTAGAGGAGAGTGGCATCCGCATGGCGTGTGAAGCTGGCGAGCTGCTGTGGAGGAGGCTTCGTACAAAAGAAACCCTTCCCCTGACTTCATCCTCTGCCCACATAAAAACCTCTGTCCTTTCTCACTCAAACAAAAGAAAAAAAAGAAAAAAGAAAAAAAAAAAAAAGAAAAACCCACAAAGAAAGAAAGAAAGACACAAACAAACCCCCAAGCAACCAGAAAACCCAGCTAATGAATACAAAATCCTTTGCTCGGGTGCTGACATAGGCAGCTGCAGTTTGGAGTTACATCAGCAGACATAGGCAAGCAAAGGAGGTTTATCCCATGACAGGTGCTTGATAGGGGTTTGATAAAGAAAATCCATGATGCTGAAGTTTTTTTGGGGCAACTTAGGAAACGGCAGGGTCTCCCTAAACCTGGTTATACGGACCTGCTCTTTATATAGATTTGGTCTTTTCTTACTTTTCTTCTTTTGTAGAACAAGGGGCCATCCGCTAATGAAAGCTCACGTCTCTAGTCTCTGCAAATTACCTCCTTTACAGATATAGCAGGATTTGGGGGGTTTCTCAAATGTTTTTCCATGCAACACTGATGTCCTGAGCACTCCCGTTGCCCCACAAAACCTGTCCATAGCCACAAGTAGCACAAGGGACATAGGCATCTTCCCAAGGGCTACGGTGCACGTTTTATGGCCCTTAAGGATGGAGGATTCTTCATTTTAACTCTTACAGCTGCAAAGTGCTGCACCCCTGAAATATCAGAGATGGAGTTTGATGCTCTGTTAGTGAAGTACCACGTCTATAAAACCCACAAGCACTTTTTTTTTCACAAGATCATGGGCATGCTGAGCAGAAAAGCAGACCCACTGGAAGCAGTGCAAGGGCAGTACTTTTGGGCCATTCAGAATAGATTCCACCTCCCTTGGGAATATAGGGAGCAAATAAAGAAAGTCAGGTATGAAACTATTTCCATCCACCTCTTAAAACCCCTGTATCACAATCTGTTTCCCTGCCCCCAAACAGGCAAGATGGGGCAGGGGAAAACTTAGGAAAATTGCTTTAATGACCCCCTTAAAAAACAAACAAAAGCCCACACTTAAATAAAGTCAGGAAAAAATAGCTGTGCGATTTAAACACTGCATATTGACAGCCCTAGGAACAGAGGAGTGGGTTGATTAGAATACGGGTTTTAATGGATGCACAGCCATTTAAAACAAAGTTGCCGTTGTTGAAATAACACTTTTTACAGAAGTAGCTGCATACCAAATGACCTTGAAAAGGCATAGCAATTACTACCACACACGTAAGATATACTATCGTCAAAGCTAAGGCTTGATTTCCTAAGATATACCATACAGACTGGAACATTAGGAACTGGGATGAGTTCTGAGATAAGATGCTAGAGTCAATAAGATAAATGCATAAATAAAAAGCTCCATTTGTCGGGGCAAAAGCTGCTATTCTTGATGGCGAGAAATTCTGTTTTGCATTTAAGAAAAATACACACCACAACCTCTCCCAAATGTTGAAGCAAGTTTCAACATGAGCATCGTCATTCCAGCATGAAGAGCAACTACCGCATTAAAAACTCATCGTTAATTATTGTTCAAAATAGCCTGTTGGCATTTGCTTAGCCAGCGAGATCCTCAGGGTGGCACAATCTAATAGCTGTGCTTGTACAGCATCTACCATGATAAGGATCCTGTAAAAATAGAAGCCAAACTAACTAGAGCCATTACACACACACATACATATATGCAGTTTATGCAGATATTATTGCCAAGAAATTATTCTCCCATAAAGATGAGGATTGGATCTTGCTGCCCGAAAATCAGATTTTTACTCTAATCACATGAAAAGAACAACTTCATAAACACAGGAAGAAAGTGAAATGATGCTTCCTGTGAGAAGGAAGTCCGTTTAAAGCACAAGTAAATTGATGCAGTCAGGAGAAAGAAGCTTGTATATGCAAATAGAGGTTTATTACCCAGTTTTGTGTTCCTGAGAAACATAATTTACTGACCTTTGAGAGAAGGGTCAAGTAGACTTATGGAATAAGAAACAAAGGCATCTCTTTTGGCAACTGCCATGTTCTAGAGCTGTAATTATCTTTCCCTCTCCTCATGAGCAGTAGGAAATGAAAAGGGTTGCCATTACACTATGTGAATTACTGTAATTTTAATTTCTACAAAATGCCAGGAAAGTTTCCTCTAAAAAAAAAAAAAAAAAAAAATCTGGTCAGATTTTTGGTGTGGTTTCAGTTTAAAACTCATTCCCCAGATAAAACAAAGCTGTGCTTCCCCTTCTCCCAACCCTTTTGGGGAACCACCCACAAAGTCTACATGGTGAGGAAGCCCACTTTCCTCCTCAGCCGTTGAGAATATCGATGGCTAAGTGTGGTCAATGAGGATCCAGGAAAGACGGAAGTGGCCTGAAGACATGTCGCAGACGCAATAAGGACGCAAAATCTGGGATGCCTCTTCTAGGCACTGTCAGGGATGGATCCTTAGGAGTCCTCAGTTTTTCAGCGTAGTTTGCTGTTGGGTTTAATATCACTCAAGCTTCTTCAATCATGGGCACAATAATACATTCTTCCTTCAATGGGAAGTCGATGGACAATAATTAAAAGAATTAAAAAGAAGGATTCATTTCATGTCCTGTGCTCAGAGGGATTATTGGATATTTTGTGGATTTTCTGCAGGCTATTATTTATTATGTTAATATTATGGATAATCTATTCTGCAATATTAGAATATTATCATATTTTATTATCACCAGCTGTTGCACCATGGGATGGAGTCAGCCCAAGAGAACAGGTCTACTCAGCTGTCCATCTTCCCCTACCACCCTGTCCCAGGCGCTGCATCACTGCTGTGGGGGACACTTGAAATCTCCCCTTTCCTGCAGGGGACTCTTCACTTGGAAGGAGGAACAGCTGCTTTGCACCAAGGTGTGTCTATGCGGGGGGAGAAGATGGGATTTGAGGCACATCTACCCCGTATGCAAGCAAGAACCAGAGGCGACCATATCACCAAATACCTTACCGTCTCTGCTGTGTGCTGCAACAGCATTTCTCATAAATGGGAAGGATTCCCCCGTGCACTCCCTTAATGAGACTTCTGAGGTCTCATTTTAGCCACTGGCTGAATATTTAAAATTGCTTTCACAGTTCCAGAAGGAAAAAGCTTTTTTCAAATAGTTGCCACAACTCACCTTCAACAACGATCATTTAGCGTAGTAAAAATTTGTGTCTTTCAATATATGCAGTAACACACCCACAGAACTACATCGATTTGTCTGCACACAAATACATTCCTACAGACACATATTTGATTAAGAATTTATATAACTTCAGGCTTCAAGGAATTTTGGATCAATGCCTTTAGTTTGCTTTTATAAATAAACTCAATTAAACAGTACTTACCGCAAATCACAATGGGCAGGAGAATAATTTTCTTGAAACTTCACTTTCCAATTTTTACCTGTTACGTGGGTCTACAGAATCAATTAGTCCCTAAAGGGAACTTATTAGAGTTTGTGTTACCAAACATCTCACCTTTCCCACCCCACCGATGGAAGAGAAGAACTATAGGGACACACATATAGAAAAACTAGCATTCCTCAAACCTCTCACAATTTGCTGTAATAAATTAAAGTGTAAATAAAATAAAACAAAGCCCTGTAGGCAAGCACCATTTGAATCAAGACTGGATCTGCACCAAGTCAAGAAGTTCACCATGCAGTCTCACAAGACCTGTAAATCAGGTCCCCTGAACATGCGTAGTATTTTGTATTACTGTACAGGGTGTTAACTTTAATGCCTTAATATATGCACACAGTGGTCAGGTTACAGTTGGTGTGAGAACTATAATTTTCCATATCCTGACCAATATGCAGCTGGAAAAATAAGTAAAAACCAATCACACCACTGCATTGCCTTTGGCAGGTTTTATACATTTAATTTCTCCCTTTTCGTATTTGAAGGAGGCAGAAAAGAAGACACGTGTGAAGCTGCAAATATGTAAGAAAGCTGAACGGATGTGAATTAACTTTCTTTTCAAGCAGTGTGCATGAAACCTCATGTGTCCCCAGCACAAGTAAATGTAATTGCATGAAACATATGTACTGTTGGGTGTGACCAAGCCTATTTCTGAGTCAGAAGCAGATCACCAAGGACATACTAGAACCCCCTTCTTTTTCATAACGCACCAAAGCCAACCACCAGAGTTCACTTGCAAGTGACAGCCACAAGGAGAAACAATCTGCAGCTGGTCCACTTTAACACAATTTCTGCTGATGCTGCCTGACCCACACCAAAATGTTACTGCTACAGTCTCCTGATGGTTGGTTTCTTATCTCTTTTAAGGCATAGGGGTTTGTCTCTATCCTATTCTTCCTCTAGCCTCCCTTTACCTCCAACCCCACCATCACTTGCCTCCAAGATTTGAGTACTTTTACAAGGAGGCTGAGGGGAGACCTTATTGCTCTCTACAACTACCTGAAAGGAGGTTGTAGAGAAGTGGGCGTCAACCTCTTCTTGCTAGTAACAAGTGATAGGACAAGAGGAAATGGCCTCAAGTTGCACCAGGGGAGGTTTATATCGGATATTAGGAAAAAATATCTTCACGGAAAGGGTTGTCAAGCATTGGAAGAGGCTGCCCAGGGAAGTGGTGGAGTCACCATCCATGGAGGTATTTAAAAGATGTGGTGCTGAGGGACATGGTTTAGTGATGGTTTTGGCAGTGGTAGGTTGATCATTGGACTTGATTATCTTAAAGGTCCCTTTCGACCTAGACAATTCTATGTTTCTATGATTCTATCCGGCATCTTGTTCTTTTCCCCTATTAAAACTCTGCTGCCTTCCAGAGAAGATTGGTTTTTTGGAGTCATCAACCATTGTCAATACATCAAAACACTTGATTGCACCTAGGCTTACTCTAGGTGCAGGGATGCACAACAGCCATGCAATAATTAGCCCTCTTCGTCCTATTAGCACCAGTAATTGGCCAGCAGTGTCCCACATCACATGGAACAGCCATTGCCGTACAGCCATGTTGTAGTCCATGCAAGACCAGAGCTGTTCCCACCTCTGCAATCCACTCCACTGACAGTAAACTAAGTTGGTCAAAAGCACAAGAAGTGATGTAACATAGACAGCATAAAAACAAATCCCAGCTGGTTTGCAGAAAAGAAACACCCTCATCTCTAAGCTCAATCATCAGAACCATTAAATGTTTGACATCCGGTGAATTTGACCACCATTTGAGAACATGTTATTTGTGACCATGCACAATATCCACGTCCAATACGAATCACCAGTTCCTGGACAAAAATAAGCTATAACATTTCTATAAATGGATAGCTGAAAAGCAACATCTGTGGACAATCACTCAAAAGGTGGCAGTGGGAACTCTCAATAAGGGTAAAGGAATACGTTAACCCTTTGGCAGACAAAGGTCTTAGTTTCATTGGCAAAAAGGTCTGACTCAGAATTGCAATTGCTTGAAACCTATCTAATACCAAAACTCTGGTACATTGACTTACCTTAATGGTAGGGTCTTTGATGGCATCATTCCACCCTTCTTTACCAAGAAGCATTAATGTTACAAAGAACAACTATTTCTTATATACGCATTAAAGAGGATATAGAAAACCATTTGGCCCAACAAAGTAGAGAATGAAGTTTCATTAGGAAAGTAGAAAATCTGCTAATTGCCCCTTAAAAGAAAAGAGTATCGAGAATATGAGAAATAATCATGGAAATTAGGCGTAGAGCCCTGCTTTTTGGTGGCACATTATCTGTTGCAAATACCTGAAAGCTTTTTAGTGTGTATGACTTGAAAGGCCAACCTAATCTCTGCTGGACTCATACTACAGCTCACTGATCTCCTGACATCCAACCTCTCATGGAAATCTGTGGAGATTTCTTAGACACACACATACCTCATATATAGCATTACTATTTGCGAAAAACTACACACGTACACATATATATAAATATGTATGTGCATACGTATCTTTACAGTCTTAATCACGTTACATAGCTGCATAGGCATACCTACATTTACACACACACACGTACATATGAAACTACATATATGCACAAAACTATAATGTATATACTCTGGTTACTTATCATATTTATTCAGTGACAAAGTTCCTATTATGGGTAAAAAGAGGAAAAAAAAATGGCTTAGTCTGCATATGTATATAATAGTTAACGACAGTGTAACGTAGGCAAAGAAGGCAGAATACATGATCCTTCTTAAAACCGAGGACCTCTTAATTCCTTCTGCAAAGTTGCACTTGGAAAGCGATTTCCCTGAGCCTAAGAGCCGGGTTGCCAGGGAAGGGGTTACAGGACTGGTCTTTGATAGATTTCACCATCGACAAAACTCCCATCAAGAATGGAAAAACAGCCCCATGAGAACACAAAAGCAGAGAATAATTAAACAGGTTTTACATTTATCTTTTTTTCCTGGGTCCTGTACTCTGGGTCCTCTCTAAAGATGTCATACATCTTTATTTGAAAACCCCCTCACTGCCTTCAATGTCAGTAGTGGGGGAGCACCACACTCTTCAGCATCATTAGTGGAGGTAGGAAACAGCCCTTTTTAGCAATGTACTCACTGCTAAACATAGAGACACATGAACTTACCTGTTTGGTACTTCTCTGTCCAGTAGGAAGCAAAGCTTTGGATTTCTCTGCTATTTTCTGTAAAAAAGAGGAAGAAAAAAAAAAAAAGTAAAATGGTTGAGAAAACAGAGTCTAAATACTTAGGGAAGGAATCATATGAAGCTATTTCTTACGCTTTGTAAAGTAAAGGACATCATAGAAAAAAGTTGTCTTATTTCGAAAAAAAGGAATATAACCTCATTGAAAAGTTTGGTCTTGCAGGAATTAAAAGTCTTCAAAGCTTCCAGCATGGCAAGGTTATCAAAACTGAAACAGGCATTTAAGAAATGACAGCTAGGACGTGGATAAGTAGCAATTTACCACTCAGATTGGTTTCCTGACGCAACCGGGCATTCACAAACGGCAATGGCTAATTTTGGCACTTCTGAATTGATGACAGTTTTTGTTTAAAAAAAAAACAAACAACGAAAAACAACTACATGTACTGGTTAGATGGATTATACTGATGAACATGAAAAAAAAAGGAGCATAAAAAAGGTGTGTGTATATGAGGGTGGAGCCCTTTACCTGAATCCTTCCAACTTCTCATTTAATGGGATAAAGTCATTCTATTTAAAAACCCCACAGTTCATCTTTTGAATAGGGTAGAGAAATAATTAAAGAAATGAGATAGCGCTAGAGATAATGTAATGCTATTACATAATATACATGCTGTTGAAGTGCAATTTTATGTACTTCTATTTAGTTATTTATTACCCACAGGCAGCAAGTGCTGCGAAATCAATCAGTGTAGAGCATTTCTAATAGAGAAATATTCTTAAGTGCATGTTGCCAGCCAAGTATCACTACACTTATATAATTACAATATATTCTTCCTATGTGTTGGAAACATGGGTCAAACTCCCTAAAATAGTATAAGAAAGCAACCAGAGTTTGTCCAGGTTGTATTTGCATAATTAATCCAGATATACATTCAAACTTGTTACTGCAGGGGAGAGAAGCAGTTTCAGGATGGTAAATTTAAATCATTACTCCAGTGTTTAAAAGCAAAGCAAATCTGCTCGTCAGTAGAGCCTCCCCAGGGTAAAGCAGGAGAGCATGGAAGCAAATCAAAGAGATGAAGTTCAGGTTTTGTTTGTTTTATTAAACAGCTTGATCTTGGTGACAGGTCCAAACCACAAGATGTGTTTGGAAACCTTCTGGCAAAGCCATACGGCACAGCAGAACCGTAAGGTGGGTTAACATTTAAATTAGCAATGTTGCCCGTGCATTTTCTGTAAGTAGAGAAGATGGAAGGGGCACTGTGTCATCACTTCTCTTTCTCCTCTGAAAGTGGAGACACATTAAAACAATGCCATGGCTGAGCCAGGGGTACCACTGAAGGTCCACCAAATACACAGCTGGTAAAAACACACTTTTTTTTTTTTCTTTTCCCTTGCAGCTGAATTGTTCTGCAGTGGCATGCATGTGCATATCCTGCTGTAATGATACACTGCTTGCCTGGTAAAGTAAGAAAAGAGGGAGGAAATGACATGTGAGCAGATCTATGGAGATGCTCCGTGCTCCTGGGAGCCATGCTCGCTCCCACGTAACACGTTCCCAAACTCACAGTGGAAGCAAAAGAGACCCTCACCTTCTGCACAGCTCCGTATCTCTGGATGGCATCAGACAGCTGGTTCTTCAGCCTGTCCAGCTGAAGTCGCTCTTGCTGTTTTGGAAAAACAGAAGTCTGGTTAGCAGGTTCATAGAGATAAATCAAATAGATGACTCTGTCTCTGACCATGGGGAACAGTCCTGGCGGGAGACTCCGAGTAAACAAAGTGGGGGCAAACAGTATTTTAAAAATTCAACATCACTGGGGCTACCAGGATGCTACAAGGTTTTATTTTAGGAAGGGAACACAAGATGCTTTGATCTTTCCAGCCAAAGCAATTAAAAAAAAAAATGTGCCTTGGATAATCAAGATAGTGCTCAAGTCATGACTACTGTGTAGTCCACTATCTGAGCCAGACACCTTGTATGGCAGGGATATATAGTAGGACATTTTGCTCTCCTCCTTAATGCATGAAGGGGGTCTCACTCCAATACTTGTTCTTAAAGACTGTGAAACGCAAGCAAATGAATACCTTACTGCCATCAAAAGAACAGAATGGTTGCAGCATTGTATCCTTCTACTTACTAAAATCCATCCTCAGATTATCTGCTGGATATGACAACCCAAGGGATTGTCCTATAAAAAGACCATCAGAGGGTTGAAGCACCTGTGCTGTGAGGACAGACTGAGAGAGTTGGGGTTGTTCAGTCTGGAGAAGAGAAGGCTCTGGGGAGACCTTATTGCAGTCTCTGAAGGCTGGAGAGGGACTTTTTACAAGGGCACGTAGGGATAGCATGAGGGGGAATGGTTTCAAACTGGAAGAGGGGAGATTTAGATTAGAGATCAGGAAGAAATTTTTCTCTCTGGACACTGGCCCATGTTGCCCAGAGAAGCTGTGGCTGCCCCATCACTGGAGGTGTTCAAGGCCAGGTTGGACAGGGCTTTGAGTAACCTGGTCTGGTGGAAGGTGTCCCTGCCCATGGCAGGGGGGTTGGAACTCGATGATCTTTAAGGTCCCTTCCCATAAACAATTCTATGATTTTACAATATGATTCTATGATTTTTTTGGATGATACCCCATGACAGAGTTCATCACCTCACTTGATGGCAATGGGTGATTTACCAGACTTGACAGGTCCATCAGCCATAATAGCATTCCTTTTGCCTGGCCAAGGGCCTGATTGTCAGAAATCAACTTATCTCCATGTTTTTCAAAATGTGTAGCCAAATGTCACCACCTTTCTGCCTGGAGCTTGCCCCAGCAAGACACTGATCCATGCTTTAAACAACAGAGTTCTCAGAATGAAGACCACAGTCTAACCTAGATATAACTCTCCAACGTGCTGCAAAATCGCTGCTCTTAGATGAAGTGACCAAACCCCAACAGTGAAGTGTGTCAGGCTAATCCCGAGGCAATGGAAATTCTCCTGGAACTATTCTGCTCCCTGGATCTCAAACTTCAGGTGTGGAGGAGCTCACGTGTCCAGGCTTTACAGAGGGGAATGAGCTGCAAGGAAGTGAGGCATCACCTTAAAAGCCACAGAAACAAACAAAACCCAATCTACACCAAAGCTACTAAGCAGAACTGTTCACTTTACAGCAATTTCAGCTGTTCCAGACAACTGCCTAAGAACACAAAAGTAAATTTTTTAAAGGATAGGATAAACGTCTTTAAATTTTAATGGCAGTATTTTCATACCCAGAAGAATATCCCACTCTTACAGTTCTTCATCCAAAGATTTAAAACCATTTTTAGAACAGGGCAAGTATCATTATTCCCATTCTACAGATAAAGGTCTATAAACCTTATATTTGTTACACATGCAAAATAAGATAAGATTGCCACCCTGGAGAGCTGATCTAATGGTCCAGCACTCGTCCTACAAAAACCTGGAATTCCAGATAGGCCTGTCTATATAAGTCCTTTGAGGTTAGTTTGAAAGGAAGCCCTAAAATAGCCATGTGCTATTTTACATCAGTCTCCTGCCTTGTACCACACTGATCCACTTACAACAGCATCTTTGCTCCTGAATTACTATCAGTTTGGTCAGTTGGGCGTCCTGACTCCAACAGCTCCAGAAGCACCTGGAGATTCAAGGTAAGCCAGAGAAACTCCCCCAGAGCACCTTGTTGGCAGTGCGTTACTGCTGGAAAATAAGGAAGAAAGAAAAAAAATATTTTCTTTTGTCTGTGCGTGCATGCGTTCAAAATGGATCGGAAAGGACTGGCTATAAAGCTCTAAATTAATGGAAGGCTTTTCATGCTGTGAGAAGTTTTATGGGAGGAAAGTTTACGGTGCTACCCAGATCCCCAAGAGGGACCTATCGACCAGCAGCCAATGCCCACCAGAACTATTCGTTCTATATATGGGAGGAGGGCTACAGGCTTTATATCAAAATTTGTAGGTTTAATTATTTAAACTGCATGCCATTAGAAAAGAAGAGTTAAAAAATAAAATCTGTTAAATTAATTGACCAGGGAGCAGAAAAAGTTATTATGTGATGCCAATAGAGAGCAGCAAGTTTATTCCTCATATTACCATAATTGTTTGTGTGTCTATTTCCTTCAGCCCTTAAATATTCTCCCTTTAACTTAACATTTTTTTTCCCCATGACAGTAAAAGCTATTCTGCTGAAAGTCCCCAGTGGACACTATGTGGGCTTCAAGGGCAAATAATGCCATTCTGGTGTGGCACTGTAATTGGGCTTAACGTGACCTTGCCTGATTTCCCTTTGGACCCAATTTATGTCACAAAAGGGAGCCAGGAGATCAGCACAAAACAGGCCAGATCCCCATATCTCCAAGAAAGCATCTTCTGTTTCATCAAGCTTTGATGCAATTACCCTCAGAGCATGGAAGAAAAAGAAAAAAGAAAAAAAAAATAAAAAATAGTCCTTGTTGTCCACCAGTGATCAAAGCAACATATTAATAAAAATCAAAGTATTCAGGTTGATGGCTGCATAAGGTCGATGTCTACGTATGGTGAACAGTCATTCCAGGCTTCCCTCCCCGTCCTCTGGAGCAGATCATCACCCATTTGTTTGGGTTTTTTTTTAAGGTGGGCTGAATTGGACATGGTCTTCCACTGGTTATAAAGGTCATCTGGGGTGGTTCAGCTCTTAAATCCTTATCTCAGATGCTTGTTTCCAAGTGACCTAAATCCAGGCGGTAAAAAACACTTGGACAGAGATGAGTTGTGTGTTTAAAGCAGTGTTTTTTCTAGGTGGAAGGACGGTGGGAACAGAGTTGAAGTAATACAGGACTTTGGAGAATGGCAGGAAGTAAGTGAGGGTAAAACACCAATTCACGTAAGTTCCTGACCTAGAAGCTATATGGATGCTGAAAGCAAGAACGTAACAGAAAACTGCTAGGCAGAATCAAGTAGAAAAGAATTGTCCTTATTCTCATTTCAATTGACGAATCACCTGTTATGTGGGTGAAACTTCTCCACTCTCACAGCAGCTGGAGTTCACCCCCCACAGTAAGTTTCTGTTCTTCCCCAAGACATGTACCACAAGCCAAAGACAGCAGGAACGTATGGGGTAGAAAGGCATTTGTGGAAATGCCAGAAACCTTCTGTTTGTCCGACCGTTGCACTGGGGACCAGGGGATGGGAATCATTCACACCCCTGTGACAATGTTGTTCACATGAGTTGAACCTCCCGATGACAGAAGACCAGTGTGTTTGTACAACAGATGGGGCGGCTGTGGGGTAAACTGTAATTCAAAGTCCTGCTCTGATCTGGCCACAGTCTGTAATTATCCATCCCCACCACTGCCTTCACTCTAGCATACAGCATTGAATGAATGTCATATCTAGACATATTCCACTGCTTTTTGCTTTCCAGACACTTCAACACACTTCCAAACTCGTCTGCACATGGTGCACCCACTGTAGAACTGAGTCTTTAACCAATGCCAAACTAATGTGGAGCCAGGTGATTCTTGCAGTACTTTCACCCAAACTGAGTGAGACCCTGAGGCAGGTGTGAGCTATAGGCAAGTCTTTGCTGCCGAGTTCTTGATTTCCAGTTCCACATGATGGAAGGGAGGTGATTCTTCCCCTCTACTCTGCTCTGGTGAGACCCCACCTGGAGTACTGCATTCACCTCTGGAGCCCCCAAGATAAGAAGGACACCAACCTGTTGGAGGGGGTCCACAGCAGGGCCATGAAGATGATTAGAGGGATGGAGCACCTCTCCTATGAGGACAGGCTGAGAGAGTTGTGGTTGTTCAGCCTGGAGAAGAGAAAGCTCCAGGAAGACCTTATAGCGGCCATCCAGTACCTAAAGGTGGCCTACAGAAGAGCTGAGAAAGGACGCTTTACACGGGCATGTAGTGATAGGACAAGGGGTAATGGATTCAAACTGGAAGAGGGTAGATTTAGATTAGATATTAGGAAGAAATTTTTCACTCTGAGGGTGGTGAGACACTGCAACAGGTTGCCCAGAGAAGCTGTGGCTGCCCCACCCCTGGAGGGGAGGTTGGACGGGGCTTTGAGCAACCTGGTCTGGTGGGAGGTGTCCTTGCCCGTGGCAGGGTGGTAGGAACTCAATGATCTCCGACGTCGCTTCCATCTGAAACCATCCTATGATTCTATGATTCTATGATCCAGTTTGGGGAGAACTGATTTCTGCATCTGTTTTTCCATTGGCAATTCACAAATGCAAGCTACGCCCATTGTGCAACAGGAAAGGAATTTACAACAAGACACGGAGCTAAACAGCTTTAAAGCACCCACTACCACTTCTCTTTTCATTATTCCCCCCTCCGTAAGCCCCAGCACTCTCCCCCAGTAGCATCCTGAATGACACGTACCCTGGATGAGCCTCTGACAACCTCAGACAGCTGCTTGATGGCTTTGGTGCTAGTCGTGATGGTTTTATTAGTCTCCTGCTGGGTTGCATGCCTGCAGAAGAGAAGAGATGATGCGAATTGCAATTGAAATTAATTGCATAATGAGACACTTACAGAACTTTTTCAAGCTGCAGAGCAATTGAGACAACACAACACACACTGCATCAAGCAATAGTAGTACTACGCAAGTCCAGGGCCTTGACCAGCAATGGCAGCCAGAAGGCTGTAGAAAATACTTAGCAAGGAGCTGCCAAAAATGTTCCTCCTATGATCAGAACAAAGGTAACAGTTGTTGGTCTGCAAAGTCAATGGGGGAAGATAAGGTGAAAATAGCGGTCAGGCAGGTAATGAGGCCATCACAGATGGTTGGTGTTGCAACTAAAATACTCGAAAGAAGGTTTGTATAGCAAAAAAGCGATGCAACTGGGGAGATACCTGATGTATGGCCCAGGAAAATTTTGTATTCAGAAGAGAAATTTGAAGAGACAGAAATTGTGCAGGACAAATTTACTTACCATGATCATCTACCTGCTAATGACATAGTAACTCCGAGAAAGCACTGGGAACACAAAGGTGCAGAACTGTTTTACGAGCACTGAAACAGGCAGGCAGGGAGCCAAACCAGTCCCCTCTCCAGTCATGGTTGTTCCTCTCCTTTACACCCCAAATTCCAGCACCATTGCTTCTTGTAAGCACTGGTTGCTGGTGTCGGTGTTCAGGACCACACAAAGTAGGGGGAAGAGACATAAATGCTGTCCAAAGGTATTTATTAGCTCAACCCAGTAGTTTTCAAGCTTTATACCATCAACAGGGTACTTTCAGCCTCTAAGCTTCCCCAGGGAGCACTTCACATCTTTTTAGTCAGAAAAGGGTGGTTTTCCATAACGCTTCAGTCAAAAAAACTCTAGAAAGACTCAAAAAAAGACCAGGAGAAAATTATCTTTTTTTTTTTTTTTCTCCCTCAGAGGACACATTTGAGCCAGGGTTGTTTTGAAAAGACTCAGTTGTCAGTGCTCTTTTTTCAGGGTGGCCGGAATGTGGACTGAATGGAAGTCCTTTGATTAAAAAACTGTTAAGATGACTATTTATGGCCCCTCTGTCCTGAAGACCTACGGCCCGTCCTGGCGCTTCAGCCCCTTCCTGCTCTCTGTCAGCACTGATGGAGATCAACTCTTTCAAGACTTATGTCAACTCTTTCTTTATGTCCCTCCTTTGAGGAACAAGGCCAGCCCCCAAACAGTCTTTACCAAATGCAACCTTCCCTACAAATAGATTGAGTCCTCTCAACAAACACTCCACTGACTGTCATCTCCATCTGGTCAGGGTAGATGGACACAGGCACCAGGAACTGCGATATTCACCATAGCAAAGTCTTGCAGACTTTATCCACTTAAGCAAGATCTCAGTGCAGACAGCTCAGGTGGGAAAGCTGTCTAGGATAAAAGTACACTTAATTTTATTTCTTGTACCTACCGGGTATACAAGTGAAAGCTGAATGTACCATGAAGATAACATCTCTTAGCTGCGAACAGTAATTCAGATGTACGTTAAGGGTTGAACAAGCACACTGAAGGTGTGGACTCCTTTGGCACCATACAGGAAAGTGAAATAATGTCACATAAAGACAAGACAGGATCTGATAACCAGTTATTCTGAGTTAAATTAAGATACCATTTCTACATCCATTCATCAAAGCGCACTTCATTTATTTATGATCCCAGGACCCACTGTACCAGCTGACTAATTATATCACTTGTAATTTGAGATGGAAGAGGTCATATCTACCGCAGACAGGTATTCCACACTGCCATTGTGAGAGAGGGACCTGGGAATTGAATTCTGTAACATCGCCTGCCTTGAGGAGTACACAGTTAGCCCTATCCCCAATCTTTTAATCAAGTAAATCTTGCTACCAAGTGTGTGAATTTCATAAGCAGCAGTTTCAAGACTGAGACTTCCACAATTAATTCCTCTTAACGCAATGCAAGACACTGGAGTTGACGTCCAGTCATTTTGCAGACCTCATTAAATTATCTGCCCACAGAACGAGTCAGGGATTTACATACCGACAATTCCCCGTCCCTAAAGTAAAATGGCTTGTTAGGCTCATGCGCCTGATCCTTTCCAATCTCTAAAGTTAAATAAAGTCTCCTTCATTTGCATACTAATGTAAATTTTATGTTAGATTCCTTATGTAATAAATCCACGCCGTGCACCAACTTTGCACTGGAGTGCTGCAAAATAACTGGGAGTGGGAGTACAAAAAATAAAAGTTTTGCCTGCCACCTCTTCAATTCAAAATGCACTTTAACCAACATGCTGGTGCTTGATTTTGGTACTTCCCACTATGTTGTCAGCACAATTAACTTCTTATTCTTCAGCCTCAGAGATATGCTCAGGAATCAGACAGTGATTATATTTAATTCACATTAAATGCTATTAAGATCTTCATTAAAAAAAGAGGCCTTGAAACTCCACTCCCCGCAGCATTTTATTTTAATATGTAATGGTAACAAGATATGTCACTATTATTATTATTATTATTATTATTAGCTTTCTTTATATTCTTCTCCCCATGGAAGTGTGGAAGTTAATTAAAGGGGTGTCTCTGATGAATAAAATTTGCTTCTGAAAAAAGTCCTCCACACAATAGTAAGTCAAATACTCAGTCTATGGAGATACCGAGTACCTAAAATATAAACGTTGCAAAAGACTTATCTGTCTGTAGCGCTACTCTGAAAATAAGCTCTCTAAGAGGCAAAACAAAAAGGACTTCTCTTAGGGAGAATAACATCTCTCGCTGTGCATTTCTGTATGCACAAAGATTGCAAAACCAATGCGCTAAATAATACAAGAGATGCCACGCTGCTGCCTAAAAGTTTCCTATTGCTGCTGTTTTCTTTACCGGAGAAGTACGGTCTACCGCATCCACAATCCCCAGCACGCAGCTGCTTACAGTTTGTTCTTTGAACGATCATATCTCTAATTTATTTATCCAGTTTGAAAATGAGCACAGCAAAGACGCAGATGCAATGACGGCTGCTTCCCTTCTCCGCAGAGACGGAATGAAGGAGCTTAACTACTGTTTGCGCCGTGTCTTTGACATACTTGATGAATGACTGAGTCAACAAAAAGTAATCAGACCCCAAATGCAACGGCAAAGGCCAACAAGGGAAAGACTTCTCCCTGCCTCTCCATGCCTGCTGCCACTCAATAATGCCAAAGAGCTTTGTTTTCTCATTCCGGCAGGAGAAAGGCATTTTCATTTGTAATACAGGATATGGCTTATTTTACTTTCATCTGATCCCAAATAGAAGCACAATAATAAGTGTTTCAGGTACAGATTAAGGATATCTTTACTGTACCACCTCAAACTTCATTAGATTTTTGTGTCTCCTTTTGGCACGGTGCAACTGCATAGCAATGGAGTTAGTTTATGCGTTTAGGAACCGGGTGGTCAGGTAGGTTTGGCTGCACTTAAGACAGGTAGTATGGAATGACTTAACCATATACTTGTCTTTTGCACAGCAGTTGTTACACTTAATGCTCACTGCAGGTTCCTTGTACAAAAAAAAAAGGTAAAAATTATAGTGTGTGGAGCAGAGCACTGAGCTGCATGATCTGCGGCTTAAGAAGAAATAGGCTGAGTGTCTGCATTTACATATATTCCATTGTTGTTGGAGATATAAGGGTGCATCAATCACAGAATCACACAGAATCACAGAATCTCCTAGACTGGAAAAGACATGTACGACCATCTAGTCCAATCTTCAACCTAACAGTGACAAGCCCACCACTAAACCATGTCCCTGAGCACTATATCTACACGACCCTTAAATACCTCCAGGGATGGGGACTCCACCACTGCCCTGGGTAACACATTCCAATGCCTGATGACCCTTTCAGTAAATAAATTCTTCCTAATATCCAATCTAAACTTCCGTTGGTGCAACTTGAAACCATTTCCTCTTGTTCTATCACCTGTAACTTGACAGAAGAGGTTGACTCCCATGCAGAAAGGGAAATTGTTTGCACCATAAGACTTTAGCCAATCTCTTCCCTGTCTTAGAGCTGAATTTTGTGAAGGACTGACATCTCTGGAAGCTGATAGACCTCCACAAACTATAAATACATGCATATAAAACTTTATGCATTGTCCATAGGCACAGGAATAGCAAGGGTTACTTAGTCCCCGAGGCTCCTATTCCCCTTTCTAGACCTAATCAAGGTGCTTAACTTCAGAGCAACGCCAACGGAGGTCCTTCACCGTCTGTCGAGAGGGGCATCTCCAAAGGCGCTGAAGAGAAGTCCACCCTTCAGCGGTAACACACCACTTTTGGGCGTCTCCTACACAGCCAGGATGATCCTACAGTAGAGCTAAGGATATATCCAGAAACGGGTGATCCAGGCTGATGCATTCAACAGCTGCGTCAGCAAACACTTATCTATAGGATGGAAACTTGTGCTGGATTAGACCACTACAACTTACTGCGCAGAGACAGCCCCACGCCTTGTCCTCAGCTCGCTCTGCTTCCACAAACAGGGAGGGATGAACACAGTGGGCAGCTCTCATCTCTAAGTATTTCTTGCAGAGGTAAACAAAGCAGCAAAATGAGCTAAGGAGGAAAGGTTGTTTCACCAAGCCCTAAACTATCTTTACTGTTCCGTTACTGTCAGCAAAGGAAGAAAGTCTAAATCCACTTGTCCTGGCTCCAGACTAACACTCACAACTCTACTTTTTCCCCCTTTCTCCTGTAGGACCTGATTGTGCACTTTGAGAAACCATTTACAACAGAGCACAATATGGGCTCTAATTCTGGGTCTGTCAGCAAACCCCTTTGCATAGGTGTAAATCATCCAGCACAGTAAAAGTCAAGAGAAAAATGGACTGCTACTTCCAAGTTTCAAGCCACACAATATTCTATAATAAAAGCATCACAGATTTCCAATTTGCCTTTCACTTGAAAGCATGAGGGGATGTGGCGCTATTTTTCTTCAGGGAGCTTAGGGGATGGTCTGTGATCGTGTGGGAAGAGAAGGGGAGGTATTTCA